CGCTAAAAAGTGCAGTTCCCGAGGCCTGATATATACCAAAAGTTGATCAATCCGTGCCATGGTGGAAATAAACTTACATATAAAATTTCATCAAAATCGGTTCAGCCGAACTTGAGATACACGCGTGCACACATAGACCGACAGACCGACAGGTTGCTAAAAATAGTTTATTTACACTTCCCTACTATGGAGAAGTACGTTCCCACCGAAAACTCGATATGCAAAATTTGTTGCCATCACATAACCTACCTATTGTTTACACAATATGGTCGGTAAAAATAGGTAGACATCTATTCCGTACTCTTCCCTACCCCCTAAATTCCTGCGTGTATAAAAATGAAACTAAGAAGGTACATATACTGTTTAACTATTTTAGCTAAAGAAATTTTTTGTACACAAATATGTATTAGTAAATGATTCTATTAGTGTGATGTAAAAGATTTATCTACTTTGATTTAAATTTTGTACTTTTTCGCATTATTACTTGTTCTGGCTTTAATTTTATTTGCATATTTGCACACATTGTGTGAATTTTTTCAAAGCGTAGGTATTTTAAAAATTTTTTTTCTGGAAAAAATCGCGCGTTTTTTGGTTTGCGGTACACACATATGCATTTACATTTCGCTCAATTTTGTATTTATGTTTGAACTGTGAAGCAGAGTATATCTATCTATGAAGCAGTATGACTCGTTCCAAGCCGTTAGTTTTCGTTTGCTTGTTACTTTTAAATCCTCAAAATATTCCATTTTTATTAAGAAATAAATGGTAAAAGGAGATGTTTTGTTTTTTTTTTTAAATGTTTTATTTATTGGTTCTTTTTGATACATTTCTATAATTCAAAATAAAACTAAAGAACTAAAATGTAAGTACATGGTTACAACAGTAACTCTTTCATTTAAATTTAAGATATTTAAGTAAAATTCCAAATATGTATCTTTGAATTTTGTATAATTTAATAATGTTTAATATTAAATTATAGTTTTAAATATGCATATAATTTTGCATCTCGTTATTATATTGGGGTGTTGTAAAAAAAATATTTAACGGTATTTGTCGAAAGGAAAGAAAAAAAACAACTGTAATATTATTAAAAGGAGTTGTGTAGGCGAAAAAGAAACAAAATATTGTAAACAAACGAGTGTATTAAAAATACCAAACTGATATAAAATTAAATTGAGGTAAAATTTTTGTTTTAATTTTTATAACAAAATTTATTTTTCATAACATTTTATTTTTCATGTCATAGGAAAACAAAATGTTAAAATTTTATTTTAGTTAAAAATTTCACATTTTGTTACATTGTATATATGTAAATAATGTACATGAGCAAGGTATATGCACAATATGGTGTAGTAATATGTATATACTCATTTTATATGGCTGCTTCATGCCTATTTTAATGTCTAAGTAAGAGTTACTTGACTTTAAGTCGACTCCATTAAACTCAATAAAAAATTTCGTTTACTTGTCTTGAAGTGCTAATAATGATATGAAATTTAATAGCTAAACGTCGTTTTCGGACTTTTAAGCTGACATAGTAAAAGCACAACTTGAGTTTGGAGCTGATTTCAAGCCAAATAATTAAAGCTCGAATCTGTAATATAACAAAGTAATTTATAAAGAAAAAAATGTGTATTACTGATATATGTGTATTCATGAGTATATTCATAAGAAATATTTGTTTTAAATTTCAAAAGACAAGATTGAAATAAAAATAAAAATTCGTAATTTATTTTAATGTATATTAAAATATGTAATGACAAATTTGTTTTAAATTATTTATCTTTTTAAAATTTGTTTTTATGTTTTTTTTTATTTTACTACTTAATTTTTTTTCTAAATCACTTCGTTCTTTTAATATGGATACACCATTTTTGCCACTTTGTGCTGGAATGAATTACATAAATGCTCTTGTGCGCCTTTAAAAATAGATTATAAAAAAAAAGTAGACATCTATTGCGTACTCTTTCCCTCTCCCAAAAACTCGTGCGTATATAAAAATGAAAACGAAAAGATATGCCGGTTAATAAGATAGCTAAGGAAATTTTTAATATACAAACAATAGTGAGTGATTGCATTAGTGTAATGTAAACGGAGAGTCAAACTACTTCTTAGATAAATATACTTTGCTTTGAAGTAATAATTCGAAAAAGAGAAAATGAGAAGAGGAATAACACATAATAATATGATGCAATAATCTACAAAATTAATCTGTTATGCAATTTAACATGTTTTTACAGTGGCTTATGACGATTTGTTATTTTGTTTTTGAGTTTTTTTTATTCTTGTTAATATTTTCAACCGATTTTGTGTATGTAATAGAAGTAAAATAAATGAAATTTAATTTTTTTGTACATGTGTTTTTTGCTGTTTTTTCAATTCGTGTAGTAAGTATAAAGTTAAAAGTCTTTATGATCAACCATTCGATGTACGTATGTATGTATGTACATATATTAAGAAGAACATAAAAGTGGGCAAGAGTATGAAAAAGGAGTTTTTTTTTTGTTTTGTCAGAGTGCTTTTTATTGGGTTTTTTAAATAACAACATAAAGTAAGTATCAGTGAGATTTGTATGAGCAAATTTTTGAAAATTGTGTATATTTTTGTGTTAAAAAATGTTTAAAATCTGACATTTTTAGGTTAAATTGATTTCCATGTTCTATTTATGATCATTAACAAATTACATAAATGCAAATAAAACTAATTTCCTTTTTAAAAGAAATATATGTATATATACAGTGAGCGACATAATTAATCGTACGCATGATAAAAGCGCCCGATTTTGTATTTCTAAAACGTATACGAAAATGAAATTTTGTAGGAACACTTGATTGAATATATGTTTGTGTTTAGCTACAAAAAATTGTGAGAAATGCGAATGAGTAATCCTCAAATTTGCACATTAGTTTTTTTCCTACTTATTTTTGCGACATATTTAATCGTACGATAAATTTAAGGTTATTTTTCTGATGAAAATTTTAGAATTTTATAAAAATTTTGAGTTGTTATCATTCTTAGAGGCATTTTTGAATGCAATGCGTTTATTTTTGTAGAAATTTTAATGGTCAGTATTTAATATTAGTTCGATATGGTTAACGATAAAGAATCCAGTATTGAGTTCAGAGAACTCGCAATAAAATACCACTCGGAAGGGTTTTCTTTGGGTGAAATAGCTAAAATTCGAAAAGGGAGTAAATCAACTGTTAAAAATTTTAAGAAAACTGGTTCTGTTCGATACAGGAAAAAAACTGGGAGGCCTAGAAAATTGGACAAACGTGAAGAAAGACAAGTTTTAAAAAAAATAAGGCAAAATCCTAAGTTAATTGGTATCAAAATAGCTAAATCAATTTCAGAAAGCTATAAGAAAGATGTTTATAGTCGTACAATTCAAAGAATACGAGTATTAAACAGAAGTGGTTTTCGTGCCTAAGAATATTCCAAGAAAAAAACCGTTTATATCAGATACTAATAAGAAAAAGCGAATGGAATTTGCTAAAAGTCATATTAATTCAGATTTATCTCGTTGGAAAAGGGTAATTTTTTCTGACGAGAGTAAATTTAATATTTTTGGACATGATGGGCCATCTAAAATTTAGAGAAAACAAGAGGACGCACTCAATACAAAAAATTTAGTATCCACTGTAAAACATGGTGGAGGCAATGTTATGGTTTGAGGATGTATATCTTGATACGGAGTTGGAAGTCTTGAATTTATTGATTGCAAAATGGATAAATTTCATTATTTAAATATTCTTAAGGGTAATTTAAAAGAATCGGCTCGAAAAATGTGTTATAAAAATGAATGGATTTTTCAACAGGAGAATGATCCTAAACGTACCACAGGTATTGTAAAGGGGTGGCTTCTCTTTAATGTACCAAAGCAACTTCATTCCCCTCCAGAATAACCGGACCACAACGCTATAGAGCACATTTGAAATTTTTCAGAAAATCAACTTGGCAAACACAAGATAACTTCCAAGGTTACCCGCAAAACTGCCATTAAACGAGAATGGGAGAATATACCAATTAAATATTTACAAACTTTGATTGAATCAAAGCCAAATAGATTGCAAGAGGTTCAAAAATGATGTGGTGGCAACACTAAATACTAAACAAGGAATTAGAATTGAAAGTCATTATAAATAATTTGGTTAAAATTATGTGTACGATTAAATATGTCGCGTTTTTAAATGAATTTTTTATGTTTTTTGTTATAATTCAAATTTTTTTTATAATTTTTGCAAAAATTTCAATTGAATTTATAAATTTATTTGTTTTAATTTTGTTTCTATTTAAAAATTGGGTTAGTTTATTTAATTTCGTTTTTTATTAAGGTTTTTTCATTCGTACGATTAATTATGTCGCTGACTGTATATAAATTTCTGTTTTTGAGAAACTTACATACATACATATATTATGTCCTAATGATATTACACATAACTTTGTGCAATTGAGCATAAATTATTCAAATAATTTTTTATACCGCTATATACAATTAATATTTTAACGAAGCCAAAACGAAAGTTTGTTTAACTGATAAGATTTAAGTATGTATATCAAACATACAAATCAAATTTTATTAAAATAGTTGATCACTAATTAGGTGCTTCCCAAATGCAAAATGTGTTCAAAGTTTTCCAAGTATTTTTTTTTTAAACCTTTTTTAAAAGTCAGATCATGAAGTTAAATTTTCCGAATTTATTTTTTTAATAGTTTTGTAGTTAAAGTAAATAAACCAACGATATAATTTAAAGTATAGAAAAATTATATTTATGAAAATATTCTAATAAAATGAAGCAATGCTAACCATGGTAATCCATGAGTTTTTCTGTATAAATTTGATTAGTATACATATATACATATATATGTATAGTAACTCAATACATATATATACACTCTATACATATATTTCAACTACATTTTACTCAACGAACTTTAATCGGAAGGAATTTAATTCTTTTTATTTTAAAACTAAAAGTAAAAAAGTATTTAATCCTTACTTTTAATTTTGTAAATTTTTAGCTCAAAATTAAAAATGATTGTTTATTTTAAAATTGTTTCGTTTTTCTCTTAGTTGATAATATTTATATTATATCCTTTCGTTTATAATTAATCCTTTTTAGTTTTCTTAAAAAAATCACAATTTTTTTTTTGATTATTTATATTTGATTTTTGTGCACTCACGAAACCGTAAGCCGCGGTTTAATAAATAAAGAATAAATAATATAAGTTTCTAGCAAAAAATATTTTCAAAAATTATGTTTTTATCTTAATTTTATATTAAACATTAAATTTTATAACAATGTTATATTCCAATTTGCAAAAATGAGGACAACAAAAAGCTTTTAATTTTTAATAAAAGAGGAGAAGATCTTGCTCGATGAAACGATCAGCGTACTATGATTAGGAATACATTACTATGTTAAGCTTTTATATGATACTACAAAAATGCGCGAATTTAATAAAACTAAGAAAATTAAAAAGAAGCAAAATCATGTAAGAAAATCATAGAAGAAAAGATGGTTTTATATTAAAATTTAATACAAAAGCAGAATTTTTAATTTAAACAGCTTTAAGAGCAATGGGCCATATTTGTACAATCATCAATTTGAAAATTACAACAAAATATTCATAATAAAAAAAAGCTCCAACAGTTAAATATTCTGTCAAGATTTATTGAAAACCATAAAAAAGAAGAAATAGAAACACATACGAAAAAAACTCTTTCTCATTCCTGCAGCAGTTTTGACGACAAGCAAAACATCAATAATTGGCAGTCGATACCGCTGCCGAAATAAAAGATTTTAAAATATAAAAATATGTAAGTACATACTCGTATCATCAGAATGTTATATATGCATGTAATCAGTGTGGCCAATTGATATTGTCAGAAATCTATCATTTTAACTGTAATTTAAATTTTATAAATTACGCATATTTTTTCACTAATTTTACCAGTAAAATATTTTAAGTGAAAAAGCAATTGAAATTCCGTGTTTATTATATTTTCGAAGTTTATTCTTATTTTTTCTTATTTTCTGCTATCAATGAGTACAAAAAAAATAAATAGCTAATATTGCATTATTGAAAACAGGGAATACATTATCAGATTTAAGGGGTTTTTATTAATTCAGTTCTTTAACAGGCTTAACTTTAACTCGCCGTAATAAAATGCGTTTGGAAAACCATTCTGTAATTGAGAAAAGTAGTGAATACATCTAATTTTCACTATCTTTTTTTTCAAATTTAAAAATTTTAAAATTTCAAAATTTTAGGTTTCATAACAATGTTATTCACGTCATTTATGACAATGATTGACTATTTACAAGGTTCAGAGTGTCCATACTGTGTAAACATAAAATACTTAGCCGAAGTTTTTGCATACTGTTTAGAACTTTCAGCGCATTCTTATTAAAAATTTTATTTTACTTTATATTAGACTAATGAAAGTTATTGAAAACTGTGGCGGTTTGGAAATACTAATATCTATCGGTAAAACTAATATCTACACCAACTAAAAATAAAAAACAGTTATACTGCTTTTAACTATTTGGTTTTCAGCCAAAAATTTTAGCTTTCAGTTACATTGAATTGGCCACACTGTATGTACCTACATATATGTACATGTACATGTGTAGTTATACGCGTTGATATTTAATAAATTTTTTTTACAATCATGAAAATAAAAATGTATGATAGAGAGATAATAACATATAAATCTTTTATCTCCCAATGAATGAGAAATATAAAAAATAATAAAACAACACAAAATACAATCGATGTTCTCTTGGTGCAACAACGCTGCGTTTGCTTATATTTTCTTTAATTTGTGTGTACATATGTATATTTTTGTTCACCTACTATAAAAATTTTTCTTATAAAACTAATGTTTGTTAAATTTTAAAACTTTATTATTGTTTTTTTCTCTCTATTCATTGTTGAAACAAAATTGTCTAGTGCTTAATCCAGTTTGTTTAAATGTCGATTCGTATTTTTAAATCGAAATCTTCAAAAATATGATTAAAAAAAAAATTATTTGTCAAAATTGACTTTCGTGAAAAAAATTTGTATGTGGTGTTGTAATGGTAGATATATGTATATTATATAAAATATTCGTTTTCAAATTAAATTAATGAGCTTTTCTTTTCTCTATGAAAAAATTTTTATTTCAAGCAAGGATTTTTTCACAAATAACGTTAATTGAAAATGAAAAGGTAAACAAACTGCTTACAAGCTACTGTTTTACAAGCACTTATGGCAAAAAGTTTTGCTTTGTAAAGGTTTATTGGTATCTAAAACGAGAATTAACGTTTTGTTATCTAATGAGTGTAAGTCTTAAGTACCTAGATTTTCTTATAGTTACATATTATAAGAACAATAGTAATTTTATAATAATATTAACCTTTTTTATTTTGTTCTTTTGTTTGTACGAGTACTTTGATAAAAATGATTGAAATAAACTGCACTTAGAATTTGGTTTTTTTCTATTCAATTAAAATTTGCGTAAAGTTCAAATTAAATAAAGCCTGCAAAATATTATTTTGCTTTTATAGGTACTGTGTCATTGATAATTCAGTTCTAAACTTCTCCCTAAGTACTAAAGATGTCCTATGTTCGTAAATAAAGTACTGCAAGTGTTGTAAAAAAAATGCGGTAATATTTTTCCAGTTTGTGTTATAACTGCAACTGCATGTCAAAATTTTTAATATATACGCGCATCAACTCAGTTTTGATTTTACTACTGCGGAAACTCTTTTGTATTTAAAAATATAATGCCGGATATACCGGATTTTTTAGAAGTTTCTTTTAAATTTTATTATTACATTAATAAAAAATTTAAATTTATATTTTAGTGAACTGGAAGTAATAAAATATTTAATTTTGTGGTTTTAATTTTTAAAAACACATAACGATCTTAGAACTTTCACAACTAAAAAATTTTTTTATATTAATATCAAATTTGTAGCTTTGCGTCTTTCTGTCGTCTAAGGTAGAAATACCAATTAGGCTTATTGCATTATCAAAAAGACCTATATTAAATAATTGTCACAAAACTTAAAAAATTGCACATACATATTTATACACATACATATATATAATAATTCATATATGAGGGTCTTAGAAGCAGAGTGGCGTAAGCCACACATAAAAAAAAACTTTTTTTTGCTGCAATCGGTTATGTACATCTTCTAAAATCAGTAATATTAGTTTCCAGTTTCGAAAGTTTTAAAATTTCATACTTTGTTATACGGTACATACCTATTCAAGGTAGATACACAATATGATGTAGTAAAATTTTTGGTCCCCCTTTTATATGGCTGCTTCAAGCTTATTATTGTCTATATAATAATCTTTAAAACAAAATTGAAATAAAAATAAAAAATTAAAAGTTTATATTACAATAAGTGTAATGATAATTACTAATTACAAATTTTAAGTTTTTTTTAATATTATTTGTCTTTTTCAAATTATATACATATAATATGTAAATTATATTTTTTTTTATTTTAATAGTCAAATTTTGTTTTTAAATGGCTTCGTTTTTATAATATGGGTACACCATTTCTGACACCTTGTACTGGAACAGAAATAAAATTCCCGCTTTTGAAATTCTTAATATTTTTTCCTATACTTTATATACGAAAAAATAAATAGCTCCCGCTTTTAAAAATACATTATAAAAAAACTCTTTCCTCTCCCAAAAATTTTTGTGTATAAAATTGAAAATAAGAAACTATACTGCTTAATTCTTTTAGCTAAGGGAAATATTGTTGAGTAATTGCATTAGCATGTATTGCAACTACGCTTTTCTGCCAACTATCTCCAGTTTTGTAGCTAAGATACATGTTAATGCACACATAAAAAGCAAACATTGCAATTGTTGAATTTAAGGGAATTCAATATTTTATTGGAAATTTATTTTAAATGTGTATCTAAGTATGTATACATTTAAAATTAATCCGTGTGCCTTCTGTTTTGTAAAGTTTTTGACGGTAAAAAAATAAGTACATAATTTGTCAACCGGTAAAATATTGATCGTGTGATTTTTTTTAAGTATTCTTTTTACAATAAAACAGTAAGAAATGAGATATTTGAAAACATAACATAATGTGGTACATAGTGCATAATTACTTTTTTGTGTAAAACATTATTTTTATTATTATATTTATAGGGCTAAAAAATTCTATAATAAAACTATAAAGTTATTATCATATGAGTCCATGGAGATGCCGATTGAGTTTGAATTTTTCAAGACCAAACTATGCAAGGCTATGTAATTGGTCTGTCTGGTGCAAAAGTTAAAAAAACTATAAAAAGATAAAACAATGACGTAATTTCTCGCAAAAACAATTCTCATTTCAAAAACAAAATTAACCAGACGGAACAGTAGAAAAATTTTTTGAAAACTGTATTAATAGATGATAAACGCCAAAATATTTCTCAAATATGAACAAATCTAGGGCTTCCTGTTAGAACATTATATCTCCATTTTTGATAAAAAAAAGTTATGAATGCAGTATTACTTAAAACTTTCTTCGAACTTGTCAAGAACATTCTAACTAACCAATTGTTCCAAAAATTTCTATAACAAAATTAGATATTAACAGTTATTCACTTCTTGAGATCATAAAATTTTCTTAGAAGACATTAAAATATAAATATGTCATGTTATATACTTTTGAAATGAAAATGTATTCTGGTTTTTATACCGTTTCATTTCAAGTTGAAAAAGACTCATTTGCACATACTTATTTCTACATTTCATATTTAAATATTCATGTTGGTTATTTTCACCTAAGTGAAACGCACGTTTTTAAACATTTAAATGATACAAGATACGTGAACTTATTCAGTTCTGATTGATTCTAACTGCTATTGGAAAAAGTTGAATCTTATTTGATGTAGAAAAATATCTTTAAATTTTAATAATATGTAATTTTTAGTAGAAACATTTTAAAATGCTAACAATTTAAACCATCTTCGCTAAATTTTTACTAGTCAATGTTTTAGTAAAACAAAAATAACGTAAAAAATATTTCAATGGTAATTTACTCGAAATTGCAAAAAATCCAGATATCATATTCCGACAGAAAACATAGAAAATTTCAATGGTAATTTCACATAAAATATTTCAATGGTAATTTACTCGAAATTGCAAAAAATCCAGATATCATATTCCGACAGAAGACATAGAAATATGTTTTGGTTATACCAAAAATTGAAAATCTTGATTTTGGATTATAAAAGTGTGAAACTGAGAAAAAACCATTAGTCTGTTTTTGTTTTTAATTACAAATTTTTTAAAAACATATTATTTTTGATAAATTTTTTTTAAATAAAACCTTTTGTCATATTAACATTAGCCTAAGAAAGATCTCCAAGCCTTGCCGAAGAAAA